GGGGTTTTTGGAAAAAAAAAAAAAAAAAAAAAAAAAAAAAAAAAAAAACAAAAAACAAAAGATAAAATGCTAGAAGCCCGAAAGGACACGCGCTATAAATCAAGCTGGCCCCAGAGTAGTAGCTAGAGAAAATACTTAAATATACACTTACTATCAAATTTCATTCACGGAAGCCCCAGGTAGTGGATACAGCCCGGGTATCTATGGATTGAGCCGCTTCTGTCAATCGCGAATCTGCAAGGCTAAATCGATAATTCTTAATGTGTGCAGCCAGAAACGAACATCAGGCCGAAACGAAAACAAACCAGTAAAGTGAGAAAAGTGATAGCAGACGCAAGCAGGGAGGCAAACCCTTTATAAAAGGATAACATTATGGAAGAAAGAGGTTTTGAAACAAGAACAACACAACAGCACCAGTTGAGCTCCTTTCAAGAAATGGAGAGAGGGTCGAAATGACCCCCAACGTTAATATGGTCGCTCTACTTTCCACTCCGTCGTCCTCGTGAAATCCTGGCGAGTTTCCGTCTCTGGTCTCGGAGTTACCTATTTGGGCCTGCAAAACGAGCACCCGGGGCTTAGGACATCGTAAATCAAAACAAGAAACAAGGCCAAAAAAAGTTATCCAGATTCCGCGCTCTTTGTCCAGCGTTTAAACGTACTTGTCCTTATTCTATCTTCGTAAACACTGGGGGTCACGAGTCACTGCCCATATTTGCTAGGCCCGGAATCCGTTTCCCAAATCCTGTGCTCAGATTCTGACCACACCAGTTTTTATCCTGTTTTTGAAAGAAAGTACCTTCTGCTTTTTGGGTCTTTTCCAGATAGCCCCAGAAACTTACCCGCGGATAGCGTGCCCCGTCTTTTCCCTATCTGCAGCCAAAAACAAGAGACGCAAGGGCAAGAAAAAAAGAAAAAAAAAAGACACCGCCAGACCAAAACTAGACTCGCGGCGCACCAAAAGAATGCGAACAAAATCCTCCACAGCCTCCCATTAACAAGCTCACCGGAAAAAGACACATTCACACGAACCACACGTCAGGCAAGAAAAAGAAAGCGAAAACATACAGAACTCGGAAAGAGCAACACGGCTTTAATTCCCCCCCGAACCGTCCCAAGCCCCAAAACGGACCCACCGCTCTATTTCCCCACACTCATTTCCAGCACACAGACCATGAAGTTTTTACTGTCGTCACCCTTAAAGTCGCTGCCGCGGAGCCCAGCCAAAGAAGGCCCGCACTCGGACCCTGGAGACCCCGCACCCGCTGGGCCGGACCTGGTGTCGCCGGAGCTCGTGCCTATCCTCACGTTGCTCTCTTCACAGACCCACCGACGGTATCACGAGGGCACATTCATGCTCTACAGTGACTTGAACGGCGATGGAAATCCGGCGGACCGCGAGTGGCGCGAGGTGTACGGAATCTTGACCGGGAATCAGCTTGCATACTGGGATGCAGCCAGCTTGGCACGCTTCAAGGATTCGCCCGAGCAATTGTTCCAGACAAGCAGTAAGCCGAACTACTTGAACTTCACCGACGCGGTGTTCAACGCGATGAAGGTGCTCCCCGCGGCAAAGCTCCAGATGGAGAACGTGTTGGTAGTGCTGACGACCTTGAAGAACAGGTACATTCTCCAGTTCAAGAAGCTTGCCCATCTTCAGGAGTGGACGGTGGCGCTTCGGTTGGCCCGCTTTGAGTACCTGGCGCTCCAGGAGGCTTACACGGGTGCGCTCTTGTCGGCCCGTGGCCTGCGGCTCTCGGATATCCGCACGATCTTGGCACCGAAACGGTTCAATCACGAGGACTGGGTGAAGATAAGATATGGCTCGGGCATGGCGTGGAAACGCTGCTACGCTGTGATCGAGCCCAGCCAGACGAAGAAAAAGCTGTTCATCCCGGGCCGCGTGTTGCTCTTTGAGTCCGAGAACACCAAGAAAAAGGGCTTGGTGGGCATCATCACCTCGGCCACGCTGGTCTCGGCCGTGTATCCCCAGCTGCCGCTTTTCATCGACAAGAGCACCATCATGCAGCTTGAGGGCAGTGTGAACTTCAAGCCGCGCTCGGTGAAACCAAGCAAGAAAGACGAGGCTAACAGCCAGGAGACATCGCTTTTTCTTATGCCGGAACAACATTCTTCTGTGCCCGGCTTCGACACCTTGATCCGTTTCTTGATTCCTCTATACGACGCGTTTGGACTATATGGTCGTCCTCAGCGCTTGAACGCGGACCGCACCGACCCAGATTCCTTGGTGTTTGGCCTTCCAACGTTGCCGCATGTGCATTACCTCAACCTGGACGACTTGCAGGGCGTCAGTTCCGACCAGCAGTTCTTGTCTCTTGACGCTCGGGCCTGGAAACAGAGCATAAAATCTGTGTTGCTTCGGAAAATGGCCCATGGCTATGATGGCTGCGGCTCCTCTCGTGGCTTCTCCGGTGCTGTGAACTCTTTGAATAGCCCACGCTTAGTAGGGGCCGATTCTCCTCGTGTTGCCTCGGCATCAACCACGTTCCAGCGCCCACCTGCGCAAGAAACCGCCACACGGCTGGCCTCCGGTCCATTGCCAGATTTGAAGGAACCTTTATACGTTAACAACGATCTGAAGATCTCTGTGCTCTCCGAACAACAGAGCAGATACGGACCTTCAGCTAGCTACGGATCGTTTGAGCAATACCCGCCAGGACGATCTGTCCCCCCCACCATCGGAGGGGTCACGGGAGCAACTTCCTACAAGTACGTTGAAGGCCACTCAACCGGGCCCAATCAACAGAAACGTGAACAACTTGGAGGTTCAGACATCCAATGGCGCTCGGGACTCCATACAATTGGCAGATATCTATCACAAGTATTCGACCATCGAGACTCCCTCGGATAGGTATGACGATCGCAACAAGATCTTGAATGGGAGTGCGGAGGAGATCGACGAGGAGGTGTTGCCGTCATTGATGAGAAGAAAGTCATTGATGAACGGGCCATATCCTACGAGCGAGAAACACCTTATTGATAGCGAAAGTGATATTGCGGAACTGGACGAAGAAGAAGTAGTTGCAGAAGGCAACATAATGTCTTCCAGCCCTGCGCGGAAAGTCGGAGAAAAGCACGGAATGTTAGCAGTACCGCAAACATACGACCAAAGGAACCTGAGCTACTCGTCCGTGCAGTCACCGTTAACACAGTACAACGAGTTTAACCAACAGTTTACCAAGAGTGTGGAGCATAAGACGGCGTCGAGGTTTCAGCACAATAAATTTGACTCCGAAGACGACGAGTCTGAGAGCGATGAATTAGGGTACTCAGATAACTCATCGCCTCCTGCCGTGCCTTTACATGGATCCTCTTCTCCTATCTCACCAGTGGGACAAGCCCAGCAGCTTCCGCAAATTCAACAGCTTCTGCTGTTGCATTCCGCAAAGCATCATAAGGCACAGCCCTTGACGCCTTCTCTGGGGGAGAATTTTGATATAAAGCCATTTACAGGCTATCCTACCAACACCAAACAGGACGCATCGGTGCAAAAGTCGAAGGGAACTCGAAACTTTAATCAAATTCTAGAGAGTCGAGGCGATAATTACAATGAACCGAGGGATGCACAGTATCACGCCACATCCCCGAAGCACTCCCCAAGGGAGTTTGGTGCTTCCAATGGGGTGTTTTCGCAAACACCATTAGACGATAGACGCCAAATGCCTCCCCAAAGTGCTCAACCTCACCTGCGCCATCAGCTTCCCCAAAATCAAGCGACACCACAGCAAACGCAGAAGTTCTACAACACCCCTCCACATCTGCAACAATCAAATCAAAGCACAAATGCTCAGTATAGACCACAGCAATCACAATTTCAACAGAAGCAGGCACAGCCACAACCAGGCCCATACGGCCAGTCTCAACGACAGCCAGATCTATTCGTACAGCAAAGTGCTGCTCTTCAGGTGCAACCGGACCCTCTGCCACAAAGAGAACAATTGCAATATCTGAACCAACATCAGCAGTCAAGAGGTCCAGCACCACAACCGCGCTATGAGCAAAGTAGGCGAGCGCCTCAAACAAGCGACAAGAGAGTTCCACGAAGCGCAGCTGGACAGATGAATTATGGCCAGCCACAGGGCAACCCTGGGCGACCCGTTCACGCTGGGCCTCCGCAACAGATGCCACATATGCAGCCACAGGGTGGCTACCCGCAGCACCAGGCGCATGTGGCACCACAGCAGCAACCTCAAATGGTATCACCGCATGCCCGGCCTCTGCACCCAGGAGAAGTTGAACTGCAAAGACAGGCTCATCCGTACAGTTCGAGAGTTATGAGCTCAGAACATGCACCAGGGCCCAATCAGGCACACGCACCAAGCCGGCAACCAATGCAACAGACAAGCCAGATGGTCCCTCCTCGCCCGCTGGCTCAAACGCTGCAGAGCGCCCTGAGTATCCGATCATATGGAGAGCAGCAGTACCAGTACCAAGTGCAGCCCAACTTCCAGGCAACCCAGCGCCCACAGCAACAGTTTCAAGCCCCAATGCAGTGGGAAGGCGAACAAAGGCCCGACCCTCGGATGCAAAAGCAGCAGTCTGACTCCGGGTACATGAGACAATACTGATAATGTACCATAGTGTTCCAAGAGTATGTATTATAGGGAAGCCCCCACACGAATACTTGTTTTATATCTCGACACCAACGCCTCTGGGGACCTGGCGTATAACCCCCAACCTAGAGCTCGTTCTTGCCCACGAACTTCTTCACGCACATGAGGGGAATCACCCCAACCTCGCCGGTCTCAGTCAACTTGACTGCGGCCCACCCATCAGAGTGATGGTCCACGATAGATACTTGTTCCCCAATCGAAACGGTGAGCTCGTCACCTAGGCGACGGGTGTAGGGCTTGATGACCACGTATTTCAGTTCGGGCACGCCGCGTTTAGAAGAAGCTTTTCTCTCGGGAAAGCCCGTTTCTGCAACATGGCCCAAACTTAGCTCGTCGGGAGTGGTGGCAGGCGATTTGGGCAACTCTTTCTCCTGTCTCTCGTCGGACTCCGCGTCGTACTTGTTGGACAGCAAGTGGAACCTGCGCAAAAAGAGCGGCGACTTGAATTCCAAGGGCGACTCGGGCACGTTGATGAGCCGGCTGATTCTCTTCAAGAACGTGGGCTTTTGGAGAGCCCCCAGGTCTGGCCCACTGGGCACAGAAGGCCGGCCATTGTACGTTTGTTCGAGCCCCTGTTCAAGGTCGGAAGACAGGTAGATACTGGATGCGGCGTGTTTTTCGTTCGTGGATCTGGCCAGCGTAGTTTTGGGGAGCTTGAACGCTAGTGTCTCGGTGGGCGTCAGGTCCATTCGTTTCCGAAGATAGATCAATAGGAACACCACAAGGCCAAATACGCACACGGCAGCGATCGGGATCCCGATGGCCAAGCCCAACCGCGTGCTTGACAGCAGGCTAGTGCTCAACAACAGCGAGACAGTGGTGGCCAGCGCAAGACTGGTGGATGTGGTTGTCAGCGATATCGAGCCCAGGGCAGACTGGCTAGAAATGGCGCTGGGGGCAGATACAGAAAGCGCAGCCAGAGCGGCCAAGCTCAGGGCCGAAAATGCAGTGGTCGGCGCAGAACTGGATGTCGAGGAGCTGGAGGTGGCTGGCTCGGCGCCTGCGGTTATGGTGGTGAGGATTGTGATGGTCAGGTCGATCTCAGATATCGAGGTGGAGGCGGCCGAATCTGTCGTGGTGGCTGCGACCTGTGTGACCACCACCACCGTGGTTGGGACAGTTGCGTCACGGCGGAGGACAGGCAAGGAATCACGTGCGAGCCTCATTTGTTATTGTGGGGCGGCTTTCTGTTAGCGTCGGCTGAAGGGTTGGTGGTGGGGTTTAATTTATTACCTGGAGCGTCGCGGACTCGGCTAGTTTTTCGCAGCTATTTAAATTTGGCGGCTGGGGAGAGTTGCGCACGCGAACGAAGATTACTTGGGAAGACTCGTTTTTTTTTATCACTGGCCAAGAAACCGTCTGGCTTTCTTATGTACTTGCCGATGTCTCAGAAATGTGACACTGGGCCGTTCCAGGGTGAGTCTGCGGTTCCAGGGTGTGTTTTCAGATTTGTCTCAGCCTCGAGTCTCGTGAGCGACCTGAAACAAGGTGCGGCCAGATGTAGCTGCGAAACATATTTCCTACAATGGCAGAGGACCAGCGTTCTGAGCCACAGTCGGGAGTGAAGACAAAGGCAGAGAAAAAGGGGTATAGACCGGAAATAAAAGTACAGAGCAAAAAGAAAAAGAAAATATGAGGAAAGATAGGACTGGAGAAGGAGGATTCGAAATGACGAAGAACTGAAAGAACATATGGGGGTGGTACGAGCCTGACATCATGGCTCATATAATGGCTCATTGCCCTCTTTCTTCATGATTTATGTTTTTGTCTAAAAATAAAATCCATGGCGTATGAGATTTCGGAAGGGACCAATGAAAATAGCCACACCCTTCGGGCTTCAGCCATACAAATGCACTCACGTGTATCTGATGGTCAATTGACAGAAAACACTGGCCATCGTGATTCAATATATATCATTACTATACATTTTAGTCTAATTCATCCAAGCGTGCGTTAATTGACATCCAGAAATTCGATAGTCGGGCTCTTTTTCATATCTATTATATAGCACAAAATCGTCTAGAAGTATTTGATAGCCTCCATGTAACCATCATTGTAGCGATACGGAGATCTTTTTTGTTTTCCCTTAACGTTGCATAACTTGCGCAGAAACTCTTCTAAGACCCAAAAAACAGCCTACCGAGAATTGTTTTCGAGCCCACCGGTGTGAGTGATTGCGCAAATGCACTCGTTCACTCAAAAAACACACTCATCATGTCAAAATTCCCATGACTCGCATCTAGCGACTGTCGTTTGACTAAAGCCAAATGACCCTTCTGAGGATTTATTGAAAGGATCTAAGCGTAAACGTGCAATACAATATTCTGGAACATCGTCATCAATCTCTTAGGACCACCCCACGCCAGAAGAGTACCGGTTCCCGCAAAAGTGGACTCGCAATAATTCCCTCGACTTCAAGCGCGCATAATTGCGCGGGAAAACTGAGTCAGGCGCTTTTATCAACTGTTCCTCTTGACCGCAATGCTCTCGCGTTCGAGTAAAGGCGCGGCAATGCTTCCTATGATGGTAGACTGGTCATACACCTGTTCGCTTAAAGCGGCAAAAGCTTGTCATCCTCCGCTCCCAACACCTCGTGGGACAGCAGGGAAGATACGGGGTGGAAGTACTTGTGGTACATAGTGTACGCTATGGTGCACCCGAGAATACCACCCAGGAATATATCCACAAAATGGTGGCGGTAGTCTTGCACACGGGACAACGCCACGTATGACGCAAGCAAAAGCGGCAAAGCTGCGAGCAAGTGGAGGTGAATATCACGCGGGCGGCGAGTGAGCTGGAACTGGCCGTAGATCCACATGGCCAAGTAGAGAAACGCACTGAAAGAGATCGACGAGTGGCCAGACGGCGTCGAACGCATCCCGTCGGCAAGCACCGACATCCCCAAAGGAGCCGTGCACACCGAAATGTCCACAAACTGATCCACAGGCGTACCCTCCATAGGCCCGCAGCGGGCCAAGAAATCGGGCCGCGGCCGGCCCACCCAGCACTTCAAGATATCGGTAACCACGCCGTCCACAGACACCGTGAGCGCAAGCCCCAAAAGTGAGATTTGGAACACATGCCATGCGTGGCTTTTCGTTTTCGCGTGCTTGGAGAAAGTCACCACGGCGATGACAAGGGCCGGCACCACGGTGGCAAGCACAAGGCACGTGACTCCAGGCACTCGCTCAGCCACCGTAAATGGGTGCTGGAGAGTTGCATCCTCCAATTTGAACTGGCGGTTGAAGGGCATGGCGTGTTCAGCCACCAAGAAAAAGTAGGCAAACATAACTCCGGTGGTGATCCAGTCCGGAAGATACCGCCGGAACAGATTCAGGCTGAGATATGTGGCTGCATACATTTGTTGTGCTTTCCCTTCTATGTCCGGATATGTGAGTGTGCAAAATCTGTGCTGAGATCTGGGCTGTGTTATTCCAGGATACTTCGTGTAGAAGTGGCTATGGTTCGCGTCGGTTATTATTGGCTCCGGTATGCACGGCGCATGCCGTGCGGTCGGGTGTTCGTGTGATATCGTGCCGATACGTGGCCCGCCAGCGCTTATGTGCACACCGACGCATTGAGAAAGGTCCACACTATCATACCTGGTACAGCATTAGTCAATTGCCTCGAGAGATGTCAATACCTTAGGAGGTGTCAATTGCCTTGAGAGATCTGGAGTGGACGTCCAGAATCTCTTGAGCTTTTATCTGGCATGCTTATTTAATGCGCGGGCAACGGCCCTGAGTCATGTTGAAATACATGAAAGTCTATTGCGTATATCTTGTCGCGGCTCCGCAAAAGTTGCAGTGACGGTACGTTAGGCACTCTCTATTGTTTTGGCCTGATATAGCGATATCCAGCAGTGATCCTCGAGATCTCGATGAATTGCTCTAGATTGTACGTCTTTTACATTTTGCTTGTCACCTTTTTTATGTTATGGGATGCGGGCCGCATGATGGGGTCCTCAGCGTTGTGTTGACTCGCCAAAAGGATCGAAGCTTGGCTGGATCACATAAGAGCCGCGGCGTTTTTCGGGCGCGGGGGCTCCAGCAGAGGCGGGGCCTTTGTTAAACCCGTAGAATTTGCCCTTGACATCTTCTTTCAAGTTGTCAACCAAGTTGGCCATGTTGCGCAGATGGAAGTAGCTAGGGGAGGGGATCATGTTGAAGTCTTCTATGGAAAACGTCATAATTTTTTCTGTGGTCAAGTCGTACTCTTGCGGGATTTTTCCAGTGGCCAAGTTGGCGTCAGGAAAGCCGGATTTGTTTTTGGTGTAGAGTTCTGGCTGGTCATAGGGCAAGACCGCGCAGAGCCAGATCCGCGTCTTGTAGATCTTGAATAATTCCTTGATCAAGTCGCGGAAGTCGATGCGCTTGAAATTGGCAAAGTAGTAGAAGATCAACTTCTTGAAGTCAAACTGGTACTCGACATTGACCAAGGTCAAGGCGTGGCTGAGGTTCAACTCCTTGATCTTGTTGAAGCACGTGACGAAGGCCTTCTTCTCCTCTAGGAACTTGCTGCTGAGCTTTTGTATCTCCTTCGGAGTGGCGAAGCGGAGCACCTGCTTGGTCGGCAAGTTGATGATGAACTCGTTGTCGTCGGTCAGATGGGTGTTCACTATGGCGGAGGCGTCCATGTCAGTGGAGTGCGTGCCTGACGAAAGACTGTTTTTGACGGACGAGCTGCCCTGGCTGTCCACGATGGTGAGCGAGCGCAAATGCTCGATTTTCTTCAAGAAGTTGAAGAGAATGGCCATGTCTATCAGGACCAAGGGCTCCAAGACCATGACCAAGTCCTTGCCGCGGTCGCCGTCAACGACTACCATGTCCCCGTTCTGGAGAAAGATGTTGGAGTTGTTGGGGTAGGAAAGAAGGTCCAACTTGCCGTTCTTGTTGATCACCAAGCAGAGCATCTTGTGCTGGATGTTGAGGTTGTTGAGGTTTTTGATGAACGCGACCAAGTTCAACGCCGCCTGGTTGCGCAACAACGCGTGGAGCTCGCGCACGATGCCCTGGCAGATGCCCGTGTCCTGGTAGTAGCGCGACACGGACGCGTACAGCGCCTTCAACTCGGCCGTGGAGAGGATGTGCTTGTTCTTCAACATGAGCTTGTTGTCGAGTTTCATCGGGTAGTTTTGCTGCGCGTTCACCGCGTGGAACGGCTGGCCCATGTGGGGGAAGCCGGCGGCCAGGTGCGGGTCTGCGTGCGCCCGGGCGGCGCTGGGGCCTGCGCCCGCGTAGGGCAGGAAGCCGCCCGGCTGGGGCGCGGCGTCCATCGGGGGCCCGTAGTAGCCCTGCTGGGCCGGCTGGAAGTCCACCAACTGCGACGCGCGGCGGGCCTGGAAGTCCGAGAGGTTGGAGTTGAGGGAGAAGTTGCCGAACGAGTCCATGAGCAGGTCGTAGCCCGCGTTCGGGGCGTAGTTCCGCGAGTAGTTGTTGGCGGCCGCGAACGACGCCAACGAGTTCTTGTTGGACGTGGCCGGTAGGTTGGGCGGGGACGCGGCCACCGCCGGCCCGCTGCGGGTGAAGGACTCTGCGGCGTAGCTGGGCCGGCGCGAGGAGATGTTGCCGATGCCGCCCTGGAGCTCCTGGGGCAAGTGGAACGAGTCGAAGGGCGAGGCGTCGGCGTAGCCGAGCGCGGCCGAGTCGAGCCCGGCGTAGTGGTTCTGGAACGGCGCGCCGAAGGCCGCAAAATCGCGCGGCAGGCCGGGCATGGCGTTCTGGAGCGGCGACACGGTGTCGTGCTCCAACAACGCGAGCTTGGAGTTGAGCATGTTGGTGAAGTCGGGGTTGCGGAGAGCCGCCGGCTCGGGCTGTGCAAACGCAAACAGGCTGCGTGTGGTCAGTGGGTGGGCGGGGCTGTCGTGGGCTCCCGGCGGGTGGGCGGGGCGGGCCTGGGGCCGCGGCGTGTTTTCATTCCAGAAGTCCGGGTAGTTGCTCATTTTGGGCGACGGAGGGGGGCGCGCTTGTCGCGGAGTTGCCGGGAATTGGCGGGGGGTTTGCCGGGAATCTGCCGGGGAGTTACCTGGGAGTTGGTTTCAGGAGACACCGGGTGGTCCAGAACGGCAGGCCTGCGGTTCAAGGGCTGCAAGGTCCTCGGTTGTTCGGAACGTGAGGGCCGTCCAGATTTCGGTGTTCTAGATCCGGGCCGTGCTCGGGTTCAGGGGGTGGCCTGAATTTGCAAGAGCCTTCCAGAAAGCAGGGCCGTTCGAAAGCGTCAGGAGCTGGCGCAAGGACTAGGCTCTGGGAAAGCGCTTTTGTTGCAGTGGGCAGGGCCGGGCAGCTGGTGAAAGCTGGAGCTGCGTTTTCAAAAAAAAAACACACACAAAAGCGTCCGGATGCGGGGTTCGAAAAGCCGGCCGGGCTGTCGGATGCTAGTGTTCCAGAAACGCCTGTGATTGTGGAAGCGCCAGCTACTTGGGGGTGCTAGGGCGCTTGCAAACAGGGGCACTTGTGGGGAAAAGGCGGCACGGGCAGCGGGGGCTGTTTTCGATTCGCTGGGCAGAGGCGGCACGTGATTTCGGGCGGCCGGGAGGAACGGGGTCTAAATCGCCAGGCAATTGCTGGGCTGCTGGATATCAAGTATGGGTTGATGGTAAGGGCGCTGGACGTGACTGTGAGCACAGCAAGGTGGAATGGCGCGGGCGTGCATACAGGCGCGGTGTGGGTGGGGTGACGGTGCCAGGTTGAGCGCAGGGCCAAGGCCTCAAAGCGCCGCACTGGCTGGGGCCGGCTGGGGGCGAGGAGACGTGAGGGAGGGGGAAGGAAAGGGAAAAGAGAAAAAGAGAAAAAGAGAAAAAGAGAAAAAGAGAAAAAGAGAAAAAGAGAAAAA